CCCAGGGGTCAAAGGTAGAGGCAGATGGGAATTTCAGGAATTCAGGGGAAAGTTAGGGTACAGGGCAAACCAAGGGTACGGTGAAGGGGTAGGTGGGACTGAGGGAGATTTAAAAGGGTCTATGTGTGCTCTGTGTGACTACCAACTACTCTTCCAAAACACCCGTGAGGACCAAGCTTGTTTAACTGGTAGACGGCAGCAAGAGTGTACTATTCACGTACTTGACCTAGGATTAAGTCTCACTTCTGTAACAGAAATTCTAAGAACGTCAGGGAGACCTAGGAGAGGCCTGGCTGGGACTCTTATTCCCAGGTCTGAACACATAATTTGAGGAGGCAGTAACTCCGGAGCCCGCGCTCTTTCACACTGGCTCTCCAGAGCCTCTCCCTGATCTTGGTTTCGGTGACATCTCAAGGCCTGGCAGGCAAGGCCTGGACTCTGGAACAACGTAGCCTACGTTCAAAGCCTGACCCTGCCACTTACTTGGTGTGTGGCCTTGGGAAAGTCAATTAACCTGTGCGTTTCAGGTCTCTCATGTCTCTTATATATGGGCATAATGGTATCTACCTCATAGGAATTAAAGAATTTCAAGAATTAAAAATTAAGTTGCCTGGCACATGGTACTGTATTATTATTTGTCTTATTTCTAACCAGACCTCTTTTAGTTCTTCCTTTTTCAGCCCTCAGACCTAGGACCTGGTCCCCTATCATACCCACGTATTTTTGGAGTTTACTACTTATTAAATCTTAATCACTCTATATGAATGACTTCCAGAGTTTATATTCAGTTTTGACTTCCCAAACCATCAATAATGAAGTCCTTGAAGACCATTAGTATCCAACAGAACTTTCTGCACCAACGGAAATGTTCTATATTTGTGCTGCCCAGTAAGTAATCACTAGTCACATATAGCTACTGTATACCTGAAATGTGGCTAGTATGACTGAGGAGCTGAATGTTAAATACTTTAATTTTTGTTTTAGAGAGAGGGGAAGGGAAGAAGAAAGAGAGGGTGAGAAACATTGATTGGTTGCCTTCTGTACATGCCCTGGGGGACCAAACTGCAATCCAGGCATGTGCCCTGATGGAGAATTGAACCAGTAACCTTTTGGTTCATGGGACCAAACCCAACCAATTGAGCCAAACTGTTTGGGGCCAGCTGAATTTTATTGCATTTTACTTAATTTAAATAGTAAGTACCTACTGTATTAACAACATGAGTTTAGGTGCTGGATAAAGGACAAGACTCTAGGTCACTGAAGGTTTTAAGAGAGAAAGAACACTGGCAGCAGGACAGAGAATGGACTGGAGGACAGATGACAGAAACCCATGACAGGTGCCAGCCACATGGACAGAATAAACACGGGACTTACATGTTATGGACAGAATTGGTTGTACTTGTCACTATTTCAACTTGCTACTCTTTCAATGAGTAAAAGTGAGGAGAGTCAACTGAGGTTTGTAGTTTGACCAATGGGAGGTTGCCACTGTTGAGACAGGATCAGGTTTAGAATGAGGGTAATGAGTTTGCTTCTGGGATATGTTGAACTTGCTGTGTCTGTAGGAGACCGTTCTGCATGGCATGGGCCCAGCTCCCACTCGGAGATGCACAGGACCCACGCCCATGGATAGGTTCTCCTGTGGGGAATCAGGCCTGCAATGTACCTAGGCCACTTTGAGTCTTGCTCTTGCTAAAAAACTCCCTCACCCTGAATTGAAGACATTTACTACAAAGTAACTTCCTAAAATCCATGCTAAACCTTCCAAGGATAAGTGTAACCAGTTCAACCACTTTTGCCTTTTCATTTGCAAATATCCCTCTTCTGTGATGTGATTAGTGGCACTGGCTCCTTTGTTTTCTGTAAAAGGTAACCACCTAAAGCAAACCTGTGCATAGTAAATGAGGACCATCATGTAATGGGAGGAGAAACCCAATAAAGGCCTGTCATGGGGGAGGACTTGGCTTTTGCTCCCCTTGAGAGAAAAGCCATGCTGTCCCTTTTCCTCCACTGGACTCAGTAGTCCATGTGAGTGTCTCATTTCATCCATAATGACTCGGACACTGCGGGCTGGTGTCTTCATCAGGTGTCTAAGAAATATCTGGGGGATATGACTACAAAACAGGAAAAACATTCACCTGGAGCAGTGGAGGTAGGCTACCAACATATTTGGGGATTATTAGTATATAGGCAGTTGTTAAAGGCAGGGAGTGGAGGAACTCATCCCAGGAAAAATATGTAGAAGAGGACTGGATGGAACCCTAGTTGTGGTCTGTGTCTGCTTACATCAGAATCATCTAGGATGTTTGTTAAAAACAGAGTCCTCATTGTCAATTTATTTAATGACACAGAATCATTCATTTAAAAATGGTTAAAATGGCCCTGGTTGGTGTAGCTCAGTAGATTGAGTGCTGGCCTGCAAACCAAAGGGGTGCTGGTTCAGTTCCCAGTCAGGGCACATGCCTGGGTTGCAGGCCAGGTCCCCAGTGGGGGCCATGTGAGAGGCAACCATACACTGATGTTTCTCTCCCTCTCTTTCTCCCTTCCCCCTCTCTAAAACTAAATAAATAAAACCTAAAAAAATTTTTTAATGGTTAAAATGGTAAATTTTATGTTAGGTATTGTACCACAGTTGAAAAATGCGAAAACAAAACAAAACAAAAAAGATTCCTAAGTCACATTCCTGACCTGAATCACTATGTTTCTGAAGATGAATCCAGGACTCACCAGGTAGCTCTTATGCAAATTAAAAATTGAACCAATTGCTTAAGGGATAGTGAGAAACTAAGAGATAGGCAGAAAATAAAGGGAGGAAGGTATGGTGGAGAAACCAAGTGTTCAAAGAGGGGTTGAGAGTGTTGACTGGTGCCACTGCACAGAAGGAAGACCGAAAAAAGTCCACAGATTTGGCATTTAGGTGGTTATTGGTGAATGGGAAGTGGGGGAGTAGAGGCTGCGGGGGTATATTGTCTCAAAGGATTTGCTCACATGTGGTGGTAAAGATAGGGAAGGAAAGATTGCATGATCTTGAAGAGATAGGACACAGGAAAAATTGGTGGGTTTGAAGGTGAGAAAGAATTGAACCTGTTGGCGGGAGGTAGATAGAAAGGGGTCGATGAGGCCAAGGAGGCACCAAAGAGATCCTCCATAAAGCATAATTTGGAAGAGGTAGCAGAGGTTGGGATCAAGAATTTAGGCAGAGATTATTTGGTAATCACTGGGAAAGTTTAGAAGTGAAAAGGAGGCCAGATGAAGAATTTCAAGACTGAGGGCAAGAAAAGACTTCCTGATGCAGCAAACAAGAATGACAGTCAGCTCTGGCTGGTGTAGCTCAGTGGATTGAGTGTGGGCCTATATACCAAAAGGTTGCTGGTTCAATTTCCAGTCAGGTCACGTGCCTGGGTTGTGGGCCAGATCCCCAGTAGGGGATGTGTGAGACACAGCCACACATTGATGTTTCTCTCCCTTTCTCCTTTCCTTCCCCTCTCTATTAAAAAAAAAAGAATGACATTCGTTAGTGTTTAGGCCATCTGCTTAGATTAACTGAGCAGGGGTACATATAGTGAAGAGCCTGCAGCAGGGCAGAGGGTAAAAGTCTGGAAGAGTCACTAGGATAAAAGTGGTCAGAAGCAGCAATATAAAAAGATTGCAAAATAGTACTGGAATCCAATTGAGATTGGAAATGGCATCAACCAACAAAATTAGCCTGCAAAGTAGAAAAATTGGGTTTTCTAAATGAAGGTTTGCCCTGGTAGTGTGGCTCAGTGGATTGAGTGCTGGCCTGCAAACCAAAGGGTCACCTATTCAATTTCCAGACTAGTGCACATGCTCGGGTTGCTGGCCAGGTCCCCAGCGGGGGGTGTGCGAGAGGCAACCACACAGTCATGTTTCTCTCCTTTCTCTCTCCATTCCCCTCTCTAAAAATAAGTAAAATCTTAAAAATAAATAAATAAATGAAGGTTTTAGTTCCACTCTCATGTTGTATAGGGACAGCAGTGGCCTCTGCTCTCTCTTGCATAGAGTTCAAATTTCTTAGCAGGAGCTTTTACCTAATTTCCCCATCAATAGGTCCCAACGTCAGGTTGGTGGCCCAGATGCTCTTGTTCCCTGTTCCTTCTTCTGTAACTTCAATTCAGAAAAATAATAGGATTTTAGGGACTTTGAAGCTCATCAACCCAATCTCCCTTCTTAGCTAGATACTGTATTTTGCCATGTATAATGTGAACTTTTTTTTGCCAACTTTTAAGGGAAAAATAAGAATGTACATTACACATGGGTAGTACTAATTCCATATCTATATAAATGTTTTTAATTATTTATGCTTATGTGTTAAAAGTGTAAGTCTAGAAAGCAGTAACGATACCTGTATGCAAAATAATACCCTGGAATATGATAATTGGTTTTGTTGTACCAAATTTCTTGTACCTTGTATCTGTTCTTGTGTTTTGTAGTTATTTGAATTAAAAAATTAAAACAAAAGATTTTTTCCTAAAAGTTTGAGCCAAAAACGTGGGTGTGCATTATACATGGCAAACACTCTATGTTTTGTTTCCATCTTCTTGTCACCAAACAGATCTTTGCCCATCTTTTACTTCTCCTTGGATTCAACTGGTGGGTGTTTTAAAAATCAGAACCTAACAGACATCAGTAGTACCATCCCACAGCACTTACTGTGTAGCTACCCAATTGTAGACTGCGTTCTGGGCATGCTTCTTGCACATATCCCCACCCCCATACTGGTGTGTGTCCCCCACCTCCATACTGGTATTCTTTGGTAGAGGATGCTGCCCCAAAAGTCCAGAGTTAGCTTACTCACTGGCTTGTTTTCTGTTCTGAGCTTGGGTGAGGTTTTTGCTTGAGCCCAAACTTCCTGGACAGAGTGGGTAAAGGCAGAAGTTTCTTATCTACCCTAGATTCACAGGACATTCTCAACCATCCTCGTCACTTTTATTATATATAATTATATGTATTATATTCAGTGTCACTTCATTTCATTTATACTACTTGGATTTGGGGTTCATAATTAAAATCATTTATTTATTGAATTTATTGGGGTGACATTGGTTAATAAAAATTATACAGGTTTCAGGTGTACAATTCTATAATACATCATCTATATATTGTATTGTTGTGTTCATCACCCAAAGTCAAGTTTCATTCCATCATCATTTATCCCCCACTTTACCTCTTCTATCTCCTCCCATAATTTAACCAGATCTTTTGAATGTCAGCCAGAGCATATCTCCTAGGATCTGGAATTGCTGTGCTGAGCCTGGTCAAGTTGGAGACTTGGCCTGCTCTGGAAAGATAAGATGTTTTCCCTACTAACCCTCTCCTTTAGCCAGGTCATTGACTCTTTCAGATTGTATTGTTAGGTTTTGCCCCAAGGCATAATGAGTAAATCCTGAAGCAGCCAGATCAGGCTCAAGCGGCCCAGGGAACTGATGCATTCTAAGGCTGGCCTGGTCTTTATAAATAGCCACCAAAAGCAGCTCCTATCCCAGAAACAGGATCACTTCCTGCAGGCCATCTAAATCCTGATAGCCCAGGACACATGCATTCTCCTCCAGGATCATCCCAAATAATGAGGAAGACATTCTATTTTCTTTTTTCAATTGCATCTTGGACATTTTGCCAAAAGCTTTCCCCCAGATTTTGAAGCAGCCTAACTGTTAAGGAGTTAAGGAGAGTGAAATTAATTCTCAGGATAAAACCCTCACAGTATTTCTTTCTTAGTCTTCTCACCCTCTCACCTCACTACCTCCAGGATCTTAATCTGTTCCTTTCTTTCCCTTCTAGCAGTGATTCAGGGATCGAATGAGTCTCTGTGGTTCGTTTTGCCCTGAAGAGCAAAAGGCTTCGGTCCCAGCTGGTGTTGCCAAAGCAGCATACTAATTCCATGCCATGGTCCTGGGTCAAGATTTGTACAATCTGATTGGCCATATCACCTCGGATGGCAAGGGAGTGGAAGTGGTCAAAATCATGGAGCCCCAGCTTTCGGAGACGCCTTGCAGCTGCCCGATAACATTTCCAGGGCTGTGGCTCCACAAGGAGGTAGGCGCAGAGGGAGGAGAGGTGAGCCAGGAACTCCCACAGGCCACGGTCCCCATGGTTCAGATGAATCCACATGGTTATCGACATGCAGAAGCCAATGTCAAACGCTGAGCGTCCAAACTGGCTTAAGAATGAGTTCAAGAGAACTTTCCGGCTCCTTTGATTCATGAAGTCCAAGGTAATAAAAGTCAAGGCATCAGGAAAAGGGCATTCTTTTTCAGCTCGCTCCACCAGGACCGGATCTATGTCGCAACAGAGGAGACGGAATTCTCTTGAAGCGTCTGAGAGGGTCTCCCCATCACGTAGGGAAAGGAAGTGCTTGTACAGAGCCACACTTAGGTCCTAGAGGAATCCAAAAGAGTTTTGTCATTGCCGCTTTCAACCAGTGAACAGAAGAGAAACTTATCTCTTACCCTCTTATCTTTTGCTGAGACAGCCCTCTACTCCTGGCTTTAGAGGGTGAGAGGCTCCTAAACTACAGCCAGAAGAGGTTGCCCGGAAAGTTTTCCACAAAGCAGGTTCTCAGCGCCCTCCAGGGGTGACAGGCTGTAATGAATTATCTCTACGCTTTCCTGACTGATGGCAGACTGGGTAGTATGGTTGAAAGTCACGACCCAATAGATGCAGGAAAGAAACTAAGAGCAGTCTTTTTCAGCTTCATATGCTTGTAAATATCTGTTTGTTTTGGGGGCATCTCAGGCTCCAGGGAGGAGGAAAGGTTCTAGGGGCATACCTTGTGTTCCTTACCGGGAAGGTGAGGAATAGAGCAAGCACCATCTTACAAAAACCTGCTTCTCAGACCTGTGGTTGGGAAAGTGGACTCCAAAAAGTCCTCACTCAGCCTTCGCTCTACAGCTTTAATTTACTACCTGTCCTATGCTTCACCACTTCCTTCTGAGACTTATTGTTTCTGCATCTATGATTTTCACCATCTTAGCACTTTTTTTGACTCTTAAACAAGTAACTACCTCCTTTCTCCAACTTTGACTTCTATAACCATTATTACTAATTCAAATTTATGTTGTTCTACACATTTTTTCCAAGGCATTTTCCTATTCATTACCCCATTTGCTCTATGTAACAATCCTGTGAGGAAAATATTTATGTCTTTGGTGAAGGTGAAGAGAATGTGGCTGGAGACAACCCAGATGTCCTATAATAGTAGCATGGATAAATAAATGTAATGTAGTCATTAAGATGGAAAACTAAATAGTTAAAAATGAAGGAATTCAGCTAATTGCAGCAACATCAGTGACTTTCATAAATATATGTAATGCTGAAAAAAGAGCAAAACATAAAAGAAAATACATGATAAACTTCCATTTATATGAAATTTAAAAATGGATAAAATTAGCTCTAGCCAAGTAACTCAGTTGGCTAGAGCATTGTCCCAGTATGCCAAGGTTGCAGGTTCAACCCCTGGTCAGGGTACATACAATAATCAACCAATGTATAAATAAGTGGAACAACAAATCAATATTTCTCTTTCAATTGAAAAAAATGAAAAAAGATAAAATTAAACTTTATTGTTTAGGAATACAAAAATAGCGAGGTATAAAGAAACAATAAAAGTCAGACTGGTTCTTACCTCTGTGTGGAGAGGGGAGTTAATGAACAGAAAAAGGTATATGGGGAACTCGTGGGCTACTGAAGATGTTTTATTTTTGACCTAGACGGTAGTCATAAAGGGGGCTGTCTTATAATAACTCATAGGTATAGATTTATGTTTTATGCACTTTTCTGTGTGTGGAATAGTTCTCCCCCCCCCCACACACACACACAAACAAAAAAACCCACAACTGTATTTTAAAAATTATGGTCCAGAGGCTAGTACTTTACTTGCCCCATGTCACATGGTAAGTATACAGCAAGAGTTAGGCTACATTAGATTCTTTCTTCTACACCAGGCTTTTCACTCTTCAATGGGCATACTCATTGCATGGGATCTTGTGAAAATAAATGCTGATTTAGCAAATCTGGAGTGGGGGCTGTGATTCTGGATTTCTAATAAGCTTCTAAGTCATGCTGAAGCTATAGTTCACAACCACACTTTGAGTAGGAGGGTTCTATACTACCCTGCTTCATTTCCTCCCCATGTATTTACTTCTTTGCAGTCTCCCTCTCCCTGTCTGATCTTGCGTGTGCCCCATGTTTGACCAGTCATTTTGTCATATCAGTCCCTCCTCCACCACATCTCTTCATCCTCTCCATCCTTGATTCTCCAATCCTAGAGTCCTCTGGAAGCTTAAAAAAGAAAATACAGACTCAAGGGTTTAACATCCCAAGATCCTGGTTCAGTAGGTCTACAGTGGGGCCTAGGAGTTTTTAAAGTTTAAACAAAGCACCCCATAAATTGTGGTGCATCCATAAATTATGGACCCATCTGTACAATAAAATATTATGAAGCTGCTGAAAAAGAATGTAGTGACATGAGTGACCTTCAAATTATTAAATAAAAAGCAAGGTGCAATACAATATACAGATGATGTATCATAGAATTGTACACCTGAATTCTATATAATTTTATTTTTATTTAATTTATTTATTTTTAGAGGGAGGAAGAGGAGAGAAACATCAATGTGTGGTTACCTCTTACACACCCCCACCAGGGACCTGGCTGGCAACCCAGGCATATGCCCTGACTGGGAATTGAACCTGCAACCCTTTGGTTCGCAGGCCAGCACTCAATCCACTGAGCTACACCAGCCAGGGTTCGAATTCTATATAATTTTATTAACCTATGTTACCCCAGTAAACTCAAAAAAAGAAAAAAAGAAAAGCAGGGTGCAAAATATTGTACTACTATTTATGAAACTAAAAGAGAGAAGGTATTTATACATATGTAAATGTTTATATACACATAGGACACATAGCCAAGAAGTTATGAATGGCATTTGCCACCATGTAGAGAAAAGGAAGATTTAGAGCCAGTAGAGACTTGCTCCCTAAATGTACAACCAGGTTTGGGAACCACTGCCCTCATTAATTGCAACTACGTCCTTGCCTCTAACATGTATATATACACCTCTGTCAACTTTAAAATCAATGGTTTCCTAATGCCTTTCATGAAATCCCAAGCCTTAAACCCAGTCCTTCTTTTATATTGCTTCCCTCCTCTGACTTCCTATATCATCATAGTGGAGAAATGTTTTCAAGGGACACCCAGAAACCCACCTATTTGCTCATTCCAGCTTTGAGTTTGTATCCAAATGTCCCTCTCCATCAGCTGTGTCTCTATAGCCTTCAGCCCTTCACCAAAATCTCGGTTGCGGATGACCAGCAACACAACAAAATTCTCCCACCCTCTGCTGCTCTTGGAGGTGGAGTAAGCACTTGGTGTCACAGAGACATTTTGCTATTTTGCACGTGATTTAACTGTAACTGTCACATGTCTAAGAATACCTTTTCGGTTGGACAGCATGGCAATGCCTTCCTCCACTAGGCTGCCGTATTTTTCCTTCTCGCCCCTCTCCACACTGTATTCCGTAAACTCATTGCTTTTAAAATAAATATCAACTTGACTCCAGGGTGTCCTGACCACAGAGCACATGAATCTTAATTCCAGGCACGATTCGGTCACCTCTGGCTCATCTCTTCCAGTAAATCTATCCCACCCCCATGCTCCCAAACGTAGGTCTCTGGAAGACCCCTCTACTCAGCCATGGGCTTCTCTGACCCATGTGCTTCCGGCAGGAGGCAAGCACCAGAGGCCCAGGCACAGTGAATCTTCCCACCCGGGTTTGGCCTCCAGGTGGCGGAGGCGGAGACGCGGAAATTCGAAAAGTAGCTAGAAACATTCCGCCACAAGATTCCTAACAGATGGTGGTGGGACCCCGGAGAGCTGCTAGTAGCAGCGCGGAGTCGATCAACGCTACACCTTTAAGCTCATTTTGGGAAAGGTGTGATGTCAAGCCCAGGCCAGAACCCCAGTGGACATGAAGGCAGCCAACAGCTGGGCTCCCCGATCTCCGACACTTCCCCTGTCACTCACCCCGGAGTTACAACCCACGTCTAGCCCAAGAATGGGCTTCGTCTCGGAACCCTGAGGGAAGAGCTGGCTAAGCAGCTCCGGAGGCAAGAGGCGGAGCCGTTGCTCTGGAGAGTGGAAGCGGGAATAGTGAGGGAAATTTCCAAAAGGGGCGGCCCCGGGTTCCAGGACTTGCAGTTTCTCTTCCACCGCGGCCTCCTCTACACCTCCGGTGGTCTGTTTTGCGGACGCCGCCATTAGCTCCGGTCTGGCCCCTGGGTCGCCGCGGAACCGGAAGTTGGAAACCCGCCGCCGCGGCGCCAGTGCGCCTGCGCCGATTGGTCAAGGCAAGTGGACCAGAAGGCGCCCAGTGTCGAGCTAACGCTGACACCCGGCGCTGGCTTTCCATGAGGAGTGGCTTTCCTAACTGGGAAGTGGTTGGTAATATTATCCCATTTTACACGCGAGGAAACAAGAACAGAGAGGTTAAGTGGCTTTCCCAAGCTGGTTTAGTTTCAACTTGGATTATCCAGAACGAGGAGCTTGTTGGGATCTTGGAAATCAATTTTGGTCCAACTTTCTTCCTTTACAAATGGATAAAGTGAGAGCCAGAGAGTAGAAGTTGCTTGTCCAGGTTCACACGGTGAAACTGTGACATAGGAATCTGCATTTGGTTTATCCCGTGATTCCACGAAAGGGTAGCCAGGAATCGTGTCACTTGAGGTACCAAAAGACCCAAGACCCATGGTTAATCGCCATGACCGAAGTGGGACAGGTGGACAGGGCAGGTGTAGTCTGTGAGCTTCTTGAGAGGCAAGGACTATGCCTTAGGAGCCAGCGCTTAAGAGTGCTTACCCGGTGTCAGACACTTTTCTAAGCCCTTTAACATGCAATAACCAATCGTCACACCAACTCTGTGAGGAAAGAACCATAAATATTATCTGTTTCATACAGATAAGGACATTGGGGCACAAGGAAGTTAGTGACTTGCCCAAGGTCACACAGTTAGAAATGGTTGTACCAGAATTTGATCCCAGGCAGTCTGGCTCCAGAGGGTGTGCGTGCAACCATTATGTTATTCACAGCCTCGAATCACCATGCCAACCACAATGCTTGGGCCAAAGATGCTCAAATATTTGTTGAGTGCAAACTCAGTGTCAACAAATGCTGCTGGAAAAACTGGTTATTCATATGAAGAAGAATGAAAGTAGACCCTTATCTTACACAGAAATTAACTCAAAATAGATTAACAACTTAAACATGAGACCTGAAACTTTATCACTGCTAGAAAAAAAAAAGGCTTCATGACATTGATCTTGGCAATGAGTTCATATATATGAAAACAAAAGCACAGACAAGAAAAGCAAAAATAGAGAAGTGGGACTACATCAAGCTAAAAAGCTTATGTACAGCAAAGGAAACCACTGAGAAATTGAAAAGACAACCTACAGAATGGAAGAACATATTTTCAAAGCATATATCTGATAAGGGATTAATTTCCTAAATATATAAGGAACTCCTACAACTCAATAGCAAAACAACAACAGCAATAAAACTAATGAAATTATTTTAAAATGGTCAAAAAACTTGACATTTCTCCAAAGGAAGACATACAAATGGACGCCAGGTATATGTAGAGATGATCAATGTCACTAATCATCAGGGAAATGCAAATCGAAACCACAATGAAATATCACCTCACATCTGCTAGGATGGCTGTTATAAAAACAACAAAAGACAAGTGTTGGCTTGTCTTTTTGGAGATGGGGAGAAATTGGAACCGTTGTATGCTATTGGTAGGAATGTAAAATGGTGCAGCCTCCATAGAAAATAGGATGGAGTTTCCGCAAAAAATTAAAAATAGAACTCCAATATGATCCAGCAATCTTATTTTTGGATATTTATCCAAAAGAATTGAAATCAGGATGTCAAAGAGATATTAATACTTCCTTGTTCATTGCAACATTACTCACAATTAGCCAATATGTGGAAACAAATGTCTATCAACAGATGGACAGATTTAAAAATGTGTTATACACATATAATGGAATATTATTCATTTCAAAAAGAAGGAAATCCTGCCATTTATGAAAACATGGATGAACCTTGAGAATATTATCCTGAGTAAAGTAAGTCAGTCATGGAAGGACAAATACTGTAGGATTCCACTTATATAAAGGTGTTTAAAATAGTCAGACTCACAGAATCGAAGAATAGGATGGCAGTTGCCAGGTGCTAGAGGAGAGGGAAAGGGAGAGTTGCTAATCAATAGACAAAAATTTCAGTTATGCAAGGTGAATAAGGTTAGAGATCTGTACAACATTATGCCTATGGAAAACAACACTGTACTGTATATTTAAAAACATGTTAAGAGGGCAGATCTTAAGTGTTTTTACCACAATGAAATGAATTTTTTTTTTTAAAGCAAACTTAATAAACGATGGAAGGGATTACCTTCCTTGGTGACTAAAGCCAGATCTGGTTTGCAGAAACAAAAATGGAAGGAAGAAAGGAACCAAACTGAAACAGACATGGTGGAAAAGAGCTGGGCAGAATGTGGGCTGAGCCAGAGACAGGAAAGAGCAGAGCTGGTAAGGAGCGAAACTCAGGGGTCAGCCTAGGTAGCAGGTTCAAGTCAAAAGCCAGAATGACTCAGAATCTCCAACAGGTTCAGCCAGGGGTCAGCAGAGTTGCGCTGACCTCTCCCTACCTGAATAACCATCTTAAAGAGGCTTTCTGATTCTCGAGGACAGCGATTTGCTGAACTTCTAAGGGACTGAAGCATGAACTCTGCAGACAGTGCTATCAGGGTAAAAATAGGCCCTGACTCTTTTCCTCCCAGTTTTTACTTCACATTTTGATCTCTGTCTGATCTGTTTGAGGACATAAATTAATGACCAAAAGTCACAGGGGAACTGAATAAACTGCAGTACTCTGCACAATTTCCAGAGAAGGGGAGAAATGGTGGGGGTGGGGGAAACAGCAGCACTAGCACCATGTCTGTTCCTAGTGTTTGACAGATGAGGGCGAACTGCTCTTGCCCCTTTTTGTCACTAGAGGATGCTAACGCAAACACTTTGCAACACCTAATTATCAAGGAACTGGAATCACCTTGCTTATTGGTAAACACTGTTTTTGTTTGCTTGTTTAAACACAATGTATATATAAAATTTGCCAGTAAAGAGTTTAATTTCATTAAGGATTAGGGACACTGGTATGTTTTTGAATTCTCAAAACACTGTTCATCAAGGCAAAAGGAAAACAAAAAGCATCAGGCCCACATGGTAAAAAGCAGGTTCCTCCTGACCCTGGAATCCTTGAGAAGCAAAGATTGGGGTGGTCCTGGTAGTGTTACCAGGGACCTAAAATGCCTCAGAGGTGAGCCCATGAAGAAGCATTTTAGTTTGACCCACTTTGGTGACTTTTTGAACCTGTACCCATTTTTCAGAGCTGGACAGGTCCAGACAACCTGACAGTACTCAGCTCCTGGGTCTGGGGCCTGAGAAATCAGTCCCAGTACTTGAAATAGCTGCAGCAGCACCTGAGGGCGTGGTCTGCACCGCAGTGGGCCCAGTTTTCTAGAGCCCACCGCTTACACGATTGTGGGAGTGGGGGATTTTAAAGGAAAAAACCCACAAACATAAAGACAGATGTTAAAGTGAATAGTATTTATTTACAATAATAACATAAATTACAACAAATGACACTTTTTTATTTATTAATTTTATGGGGGGGAATGTTGATTTGTTGTTCCACTTATTGATGCATTCATTGGTTGATTCTTGTATGCGCCCTGAGCAAGGATTGAGCCTGCAACCTTGGAGTGTCTGTCAGGACAATGCACTAATGAACTGAGCTACCCGGCCAGGGGAACAATTCACACATTTGAAAAAGCTGATGAATACCACAGCTATCACAAAAAGCTCCCATACTTGAATATTTTGGCTGTTTAATCTTTGATTTTGGCTCTTTACTCTTTGATTGCTTCTTTATATGACAATATTTTGATAGTAGTACACCTTTATAGAGAGGACTACAAAGTTAATTCAGACTATTCTTAGCATGGTGGGTCAGATTTCTTTTACTTTTTGATTGTTTAGGAAAGTTTCTTTCGGGTCCACAGTTTGCTTTTGGCAATATCATGTAAACACTTAAGTTTGTCACCAAACTGGGAAAAACCCTTGATCAAAATTTCTTTCATCTGTGAGCTATAAGATTCCAGAGCATTTCAAATTTTCTTGTGCAGGGACTAATCTTAAATGACTCCTTTTTTAAAAAAAATTATTTAGAAAAGATAGGCTATGTTTATTCAGAGTCCCAGCAGTTGACTCTCTCAGTGTGACTCAAAGCACAAGAAGCCACTCCCACTTCCACGCTGACCCCCATTGGAGAAGCCACAGTCCTCGAGTGGGGGCCAGGTGGAAGGAGCACTGCTGGGCCCATCACACGTCCACAGGTTTCTCCCTAAGGGCGACCTGCGACTGTGCGAGCCTGGCCAGGTGGGTCCCCATCAACAGGGCATGGATGTTGCTGGTGACCGTGGTCTCGAAGTCATCAGAAACTATCTGGGGCGCTCGGGTAACCAGACTCATCAAGAAGCGGCGCCCAGTATCGTCGGCTGACCCCTTCCCAGTCCACACAACCTCTTCGCCCTGCGACGCTGTGTCAGGGCCTGCTGGGTGAGAGCCCACGACCTGGCCACTTGCTGCGGATCACTTGAGCGTCCAACCACCCGGTTGGGGCTAAAACGGGTCTTCATGGTCAGATCCACTCCAATGTGTTCAGGGTCATAATACGCGTATTTCACCATCAGAGGTGTGAACAGCATCCCCACGGTGCCCCCAGGGACACCCATTGAAGTGCTGACATAAGCCTTGTGCCCCCGCCACCATTCTGGAGGCTCGCGCCCACAGTGAGGTGGATGGGGCTGGGCCTTCCTGGCCGCAGTGCTCGCGGACCAGCAGCGTGCTCTGTGGCTTCCCGGCCTGTGGCATACCAGCGCAGGATGAGCTCATTTGGAGAGACTCTCTTGTTCAATTCATACATGTTCTTAGCAAATTTCATGTCAGCAGCCATGTCATCTTCTAAACTCACTGTGAAGCACTGAAAAACAATTTGGTGACTTCCGCCGAGTGCTTGTCAATGGTTCCCAGCAGAATCCTGATAACTTGGGAGCACCCTGGTTGCGTCACTCGTAGCTGTCCATGATGGAGGCCAAAATGATCTGGTGCAGCCGGACCACACAGCCGCCAGGAAGGGACCTGGTAGAGCAGGACCAGCCAG